TAGAAAACTTTTAAGGCACAATAGAAAATCTTCCAAGTTACAAATCATCAGATGCCACACCAAATACAACAGACTCAAGAAAGGAAAAAGATTACAAACTAACACATACGTAGTCTACCCAATCTTGAGCTGGTTCCAAATTACAGTTTGATCATGTGGACCTGAAACGTTAGCACATAAGGCAATCGTAGAGAAATAATGAATGTTTTCTATCATCAAAATCATAAATCATAGATTCGCAACACAACCCTCCTAATTAGAATGCTATAAATGATTTCAATCAGATGATTTCCTCTTGCAATTTAACTGACATTGGTTTTTCTGGTAGTTTTTTTACTTGGAGTAGAAACAACTTGTGGAAAAGACTTGATAGACTGCTTTTCAATAATGACTGGATAGGTAAATTCAATATGACTGATGTTCAGCATTTGAGTAGAACTCTGTCTGACCATGCTCCTCTGCTTCTCAATATTTCTGATAGTAAGTTGTTTGGTCCTTTGGCTTTTAGATTTCAAAAATCATGCCAATTTTCTTAATGTTGTGTCTAATAATTGGAAGGCTATTGTTTTTCCTGATAATAGTATTCATGGTATGGCTAGATTGTGGGCTAAATTAAGCAGACTTAAACAGGTTTTAAGATGGTGGAAAAAAATGTTTTCAAAAATATTTTTGAAAATATTAAGGAGGCTGAGGATTATGTCTTGGTTGCGGATAGGTTATTTCTAGAAAATCCTACTTCTGATAACCTGTCTAGTCTGCATAAAAGTAAGCTTCTTCTTTTTAATTTGCAAAACCAGGAGGAAATCTTTTGGAAGCAAAAGGCGTCTGCTTCTATTCTTTTAGAAGGTGACAGAAATATTACTTTTTTTCATGCTATAGCCAACAAGAATATAATTAAAAGCTTTATCCACAAGTTAGTTGATAATCATGGTTGTGTTTATGATACTGAAGATGCTATTGTTAATTCTGGTGTGGATTACTTTAAAAATATTTTTAATGTTGCCAATACTTATTTTTTTGAGGTTAACCCTAATATTATTCCTACTCTTTTGGATGAGGATGATAACCTTACTCTTACTCAAGCTCCTTCTGATGAGGAGATTTGGAATACCACCAAAGACATGAATGTTGATTCTGTGGCCGGGCCGGATGGGTATACACGAAATTTTTTGTTAAAACTTGGGATATCATTAAACCTGATGTGATTGATGCTGTGCATGATTTCTTCAATGGTAATCAGTACCCTAAAGCTTTTTCTTGCATTAATATTATCCTTATCCCTAAGAAAGACAATACTGCTTTTTGGAATGACTTTAGACCTATTAGTCTTTGTACTTTCTTTAACAAACTTGTGGCTAAAATTATTGCTTCTAGATTATCTACTATTTTACCTATAATTATCTCTTCTAATCAAACTGGTTTTGTTAAGGGTAGAAGCATTTTTGATAACATATTATTGGCCCAAGAATTGGTTCATGACATTAATATTAAAAGTACGGGTGGAAATATCCTTTTAAAACTTGACATTACTAAGGCTTATGATAACTTGAATTGGGCTTTTCTTTATAAAGTGCTTTCTTCTTTTGGTTTTAACCAAGTATTTCTTAATCTTATTAAGCATAGTATTGAGAATTGTTTCTTTTCTTTTATTATTAATGGTAGGAATCATGACTTTTTTCAATCTAAGAATGGTCTTAGACAAGGGGATCTTTTATCCCCCTCCCTTTTTATTATTGCTATGGAATATCTTTCGAGGGGCTTGGAGCATCTTTACAGCAGGTTTCCTAATCTGAACTTTCACACTTCGGGTGGGTTTCCTATTTCTCATCTTAGTTTTGTAGATGATTTTATCATCTTCTCTAATGCCTCGATTAAAAATGATAAATTTTAGTTAACTTTTTGGATGTTTTTCAGATTACTAGTGGTCTTTCTAATAATAGAGATAAGAGTAATTTTATCACTGGCAAATCTGTGAATACTAATCGTTCCAACAAGATTAAACGTTTGTGCGGGTTCATTTCTTGCTCTTTGCCTATCAAATATCTTGGTATACCTCTTTCAAGAGGTAGAAAAAAATTATGCTTTTTGACAACATTTTCACTATTTTTCAAAGAAAATTCATGCACTGGTCCTCATATTTCCTTTCTTTTGGTGGTAGATTAATCTTAATTAAGAGTGTTCTGAATTCTATTCCCATTTATATCTTTCATACGCTTCAACCTCCCTCTACTGTTTGCAAACGTATGGAAAACCTTATTAACAAATTTATTTGGGGGGCTACCAAGAACAAAAATTGTATTAATTGGGCTTTTTTTTTTGACAAAAGCAAATTAATGCATTAAGAATCAAAAGCAAACTAATTACAAGTAATAAAAGTATCACATTCCTCCTTGATAAAATTCCATAACAAGGCCGGAATGCTTTCCAAATAAAACCTATCAAAATAAAAGCTATTGTCCAAAGCCAAGGTAGCACAACAATTAGCTACTTTATTACAATTCCTAGAAACATAATGGAAAATTACCTTATTCAAGTCATTCAACCAGCACGGATCCTTGTATGGCCACCTATCCATGATCCAATTATTCTTCTTCTTCAAAGAGTCTTGAATGAATTTGATAATATTTACATTATCACTTTCAACAGTTATTCCTTTGCATTCTAGCATCCAATCACAAAGAAATTCTTTAACCGCAAGCACAGCATCTAGCTCAAGTTGAGCTATATCCCAATGAATTTTGTTCTTCCAAAAAGCACTGATAAATCTTCCCTTGAAGTCCCTGAAAATGCCACCAATCCCAGCTAGATTGGATGTAAGTAAAGAAGCATCCACATTGATTTTAATCCAATCCTTTGGAGGAGGGCACCAAGAATCATGGGACTCCCTAAGGAGATTAGTGCCCCAACTTACAAGAAAAGGATTAGAGTTAGAAGTATCCAAATAAAGAGCATTGGACGCTACCACAGAGCACGGCAAAGCAGGTCTTTGATGTTTGACTTCATTCCTATTTCGCCAGGACAAATAAACAAGCGTGCAATATAATCTCACCATACCGGAATTCTGCATAGAGATGCCAACTGTTCTTCAGATACCAATCTGAAAATAATTTTCTTCAATCTATTTACAAGTATAGAGGCAATAATCTTGTAATTCAATTGGCAAAGACTAATAGGTCTGAAATTGGCCGGAACCAGAGGATTCTTGACTTTAGAAATCAAGATAATAAGAGTGTCATTCCAATCTTTACACATGATACCGGTTTTAAAAAAATTATTGACAGCTTTCCATAATGTTTCCCAAACAATACTCCAGAAGCTTTTGTAGAAAGAAGAAGTAACCCCATCTATGCCAGGAGATTTGTTATTACCTTGCTGGAAGACCAAGCATTTCAACTCATTCACCGATAACTCCTCATTAAGCAAACTGCTGTCCTCAGAACAAATCTGTTGTTGCTGTAAAACCGAAGGCCAACCCTTTAAACAGCAATCCTTGAGCTGCCATTTCTTCTCAAAAAAGTCACAAAAAACCTTCTGAACTTGAACCTCATCTACTACCAAATTGTTGGACTCATCTTTGATTTGATTAATTCTATTCCCATTTCTACGAGCCGTTGCAAAATTGTGGAAAAGTTTAGAATTCATATCTCCTTCTTCATGCCATTTAGCTTTTGCTCTTTGGTTCCACCAAGTAGATAACCTTCTTAAAGTAACATTAAACTCATGTACTTTATTACGAAGCAATTTAAGATCAGCATGAGTCCAATTCTCCCCCAAAGCCTCCTTCCTTTGAAGATCAATAATCTCATTTTTCAGATTTTCCTTTAGAGTATTCAAGTCTTTGCATTTGTTTCTACTCCAAAAAAATAATGCTTTTAGAGTTCGGTTGGTCTTCTTCTGGAGCACTTCATTCTCATTACCCACATCCTTTTTGTATTAATTTGGTAAGTGGGATAAAATGTGTGGTGTTTACAAGGAAGGCTCTTTGGGTTCTAAATCGATTACTGATATGGTTCATGGTTTTTCTCATAAATTGTGGTTTACTCTTCGTTCTAGTAGCAGTCTTTGGGCTCATTTTATGTTAGCTAAGTATTGTAAGGGTTTGAATCCTTTAACTGCTCATTATAAAATTTCTGATTCCTCTGTTTGGAAGAGAATTTGCAAGATTAAAAGAGAAGCGGAGCTAAACATTCAATGGGGCATTGGTTCTGGAGATGTTTCTTTCTGGCAGGATAATTGGTTAGGCTTTTAATCCATTGACAATTTTTTTAAAGCTGTTACCATTGATAATATTAAAGTTAATGCTTTTTTTCTCAATGATATGTGGAATAAAGATAAACTGCTTGAGGTGTTGCATCAAGACTTTGTTGATTTGATTTTGAAAATCCCTTTACAGTTACATGAAAAAGATAAGATTCTTTTTAAGCTTTCCTCTACGGGTGTTTTTAATTTCAAGAACCTGTGGGAGTGTATTAGAGTTAAAGAGGAGAATTATCATATCTTTCAGAATCTTTGGCATAATACCATTCCTATTTCTTATTCTTTATTAGCCTGGAGATGACTTAAAGGCTACCTGCCGGTTGATAATAGACTATGGAAAAAAGGATTTTATCTTGTTTCTAAATGCCAATGTTGTGCTAATGTCTGTGCTGATATTGAGAATATTTATCATATTTTTGTTAATATTCCCATCGCTAGGTATGTTTGGTATCATTTCAGTAATTTGGCTGGTTTCAATTTATGCCATATCAATGAAACTTTAACTACTATTCTGACAAAGTGGTCCACTAAAGGTAAAGGTAATATTCATAACTTACTCCCTATCCTGATTATTTGGTTTTTATGGAAACAAGAAATGATTCTAAACATGAGGAGATTAAAATTAATGCTAATCTGATCATTACTAATATTAGAAACAAGGTGTTACAATTGCTCTCGGTTAAACTTATTTCCAGTAAGAATTTTAAAAATTGTAATATGTTTGCTGATTATTTTTCTTTAAATAGTGCCAATGTTGCTGATATTAGAAGGGTCCAGATTGTTAGATGGTTAAAACCTACGTTTCCTTTTGTTAAACTCAATACTGATGGCTCTGTTGGTGTTAATTCTGCAGGTATTGGTGGTATTATCCGTGATCATTTTGGTGATCCTGTGGAGGTTTTCTCTAGGCCCTTGAATCTTTGTTCTGTGTTATCTATTGAACTGTTAAGCTTAAATTGTGGGTTAGATCTCTGCAGAAGGTTGGGTTACCAGCATATCAACATTGAGGTGGATTCTAAAACTGTTATTCATGTTATTTCTGAGAATAATGTGTGTAACCCTCAAGATTTCTATACTATTAGAAAATTTAAGATGAAGATTAATGAGTTTACTTGTAATATCTCTCATATCTATCGTGAAAGTAACGTGTGTGCGGATTGGTTGGACAAACTTGGCTCCCAAAGTCCCAGCTTTAATAATTTATCTGTGATTAATCTGTCATCTCCTCTCAAAGGCATGATTTCTTTGGATAAATTGGATCTTCCTTATATTCGTCATGCCTAGCTCTGTTACTTCTGGTTTCTTAGCTCTGTTTTGTTTGCAGGTTAGTATCTATTTCTATAAATCTCTTATGGGGTTTCCTTATTTTTATATTCGTGTTATGGAATTTTTTGATCTCCTTTGGCTGGTGCTGGGGGTTAATCATTACTATTGTAAGCTTTTCTGCTCTATTTTTTGGTTGCCCATTTTCACTAAGGTGATTAGTAAGGAGATCTTTTATTATGGCTTATTAGATATCCAGGAGCCCATTAATATTCTTTTTGTCACTATGGCCGTCAGGATTATTAGTCTACTTTTTCTTATATTCCAACGTACTTATTTCTCTTCTAATACCCCATTTTGGAGAGTTTTTTGCAGGACTTTTTGGACGTTGGGGTTTTTGAGCTTCAATCAGTGTAACTCTCGCTTTACTTTTTATTCCCTTTGCATTGTCGTTTGTGTTTTCTGGTTTTGCAGGAAGTTTATGCTGAACGCTTTGATCTTTCACTTCCGATTTTTGGTTGTTATTGCTCTTCAGCACGGTTTTAATTTTCTGCTATACTGTATTTTTAGAAAAAGGATCCACCAGCTCGTAGGCTTTAATTTTATTTTTGACTGTAGCTCTTATGAGCATAGTGAGCTGGAGGATCCTTCTATGGACCTTGTAACCTATTTTTGTTATTAACGTAGGCCCCTACTGTGAGTTTTATCCAAAAAAAAAAAAAACTTTATATTACAGAAGATGATCCTTAAGACAGAATTTTTTTATTCGATATAGATTTTTAATATCCTTAGAGGTCATTCTAATATGCTAGATAATAATAATTCTAACCCAAGTTATAATGTAAGACATATTTTGTAGCTTTGGCTACACTTATTTGGACTATCTCGCACACTTCTTTTTATAGGCAAAGTATTACACATTTAGTGATTGTAATTCCTACATCCAACCCTTAAAATTTATGTCTAAAAAAATTGATGTATATTACCTTGATTTAAGATCATAAGGCCAACTTTGGATGATACAATTCATGATTATTAATAAAAACAACTCATGACTGAATTTATTCCCGTCGGAAAAAGTCGTTGGAATTTATTTTCCTATGCGGTTTTTACAGGCAAAATTTTTTTCACCGGAAATCCGCCGATAAATACAAAAATAGTCAGAAAATGATCAATTTCCGTCGAAAATTGCCGCCGGTAATAGGTGATTTTCCTCTAGTGGTTGATTCTGCTACTTTTGAATTAAGTGATTTCAAGTTTGATTTCTTGGAGATGATGAACCTATAAAGTTATGACTAAGGTTGTTTCTACCTTTTTCTAGACTTCTTACACCTCACCCAATATCCCTTTGAGCTTATTGTGTGCTTATTTATCCAGTCATTATCAATTTAATAACTTTAATTATATAGGATTTCTTTATGAAAAGAACATTATCTTACTTAGGTTATGGATTCATCCTCTATCTTATAAATTTACATATGTTAGAGCATAAACTGCACTATTTTATCAATAAGCTTTGATCATAACATTCCTTTTGATAACTAATAAAAATAAATTAATATGAATGTAAGCTTTCTTATCAAGAGTTGCTCTTAGAGAGGTCCGAAAGCATAATTAACATTAGGAAGCCTAGGCCCTTTGGGATATTTGGCAGCCCATATTCTCTTGATTTGACTTAACTTGACTTTGATGATATTGTTTCTTATTAGTATTTTACATGGTTAAAGATAAGATTTATTAGTCCAACCACATTAGAACTCTTTCCTATTTCTTATAGTGGAAATTCTTCTATGAAAAGAACAACTTTATATCATCATCTATTTTTTCCAGAACACTAATCAAAAGCAATAACGTTCACCTTAACTTTCTATGTGTGGCCATTATGATCAAACTTATTTCCTTGTTGACCATCTATTCTAAAATTATTCTTATGAAGATTCATCCCAATATAATTATTCAATTTTGGGATGGTTTGATTTGGTGCTACAGAGAGAGTCTATAAAGAAAGGTTTAATTTATTAATCAAGGTTATCTTGGTCTCTAGCAAAGCCTACATTTTATTCTTATGTTTTACCATGAATTTTTTAACATACTCTAGCCAATCCTCAGGTTTAATTTTCCTAATAGTTAGCTTCATACTAGTTAATTTAGTAGGTATGTGGTGCTACTAAGTTTATGTACTTATAAAGCAATTATCCAATCATATAATTTGATTAAAATATTACTGTGAAAGTGAACACTTATTGCAGTGAGAAATTATAAATGATGGAAAATGAATTGGAATTCGAACACAGGAAGAAAGCTACACTTACATAAAATTATAAGAAGCATCGTTGACTAATTAACACGTAAGTTGAAATTATGAAACTTACATTATAAGAAAATTGTCTATTTCCAATGGAATTTTCAGCGAATTTCAAACAGAATAATTTTTTTGTGGATTTTCCGACGGATTACGACGAAAAAATTAGCTAGTTTATGATGAAGAAATAAATTAGGGTTTAATGTTTGATTAATTCCTTACATCAAAGACACTAAATTATTTTTTGTGGAAGTCCCAAACTTATTGAAATTTGCTGTCCCTCAAGTAATATCTAATGGTAAAATATAAAAATGGGCAATGTAAATTTTGTAAACAAAACCTTAAAGAAATGGTTTGCTTTTCATATAATTGCCCTTAAACAAAGCAAAAAACTTTGTCAAACATGGAAATACACCATATTAAAAAGAGAATAAAATATATAAATGGAATTTACCTGAGTGCCAAAGTAAAAGAAGCATCCTCTTACATCAGTGTTTTTTTAATTTGTGGGAAGCTTTCAATGAAACCATTAAAGGTGTGCAATAATGGATTAGACTAGTGTAGTCAATATAAGGGATAGGTATCAATAAAGTGATAAGGGATCTCAAACTTGAGAGCCCTATATCTAACTTTTGGCGTTTTGTGCAGATGATCAAGGTGACTTCATCATTTAGAAACATATGAAATATTTATCTTAGGATGTCTAGACGTGATATGAAAATTCTCATGATTTTTTGAGGTCTTTGATAATTCTTTTAGGCTTGATAGCAAGACTATGTCTTGTAAGAACCTTCTAAGCTAGCTGCAAACCTCAAGTAGTATGTTTAACTTTAATCAATAGGTTTAGGGAGGGATAAAATTATGGAAACACTTGTGCAATGTAGGAGAATGGCTTTGCACTAGCTATGGTGTTTTTCGTAACTTTTCAATAGGTTTATGTTGCTTAAATACACAAGGGAATAAGAATAGATTATATTTGAACAAAATTTTGCCTACAACTCCTAGGTAAAAACTAGTTAGATTTTGGTGGGAGTAAAAGGAAGAAAATTTTGCTGAGATGGGCATAAATATTAGACAAATGATTCAATGGTGAGAAAATAAAAGAGTACATACAAAAGATAACCCAATCACTTAAGCAATTTGTTGAAAGAGATCACCAAATCCCCTTAATTTGGTTTACCACCAAGCTCCTAGTTTTTTGAAATAAATACTTTTTTTCAACATACTAACCATTTATTCATTTATCATTACAACAAATATGAAGGTCAACATAAAATCCTAGAGCAAATATGATAATTAGGGAAAAGAGAAGGGGCAAACCCCGTGTCTGAATGTAGGGGAAAAAAATGGCTATCCAATCATTAATGGAATATTTTAACAACTGATTTAATGCAATTAAACAATTTTTAATAATTTTATATAGTAGTCCCCACAAAAATTTAAACTTCAAATTTCAATAAAATTGAAAATTTCAAATTTCTGACTTAAATCTACAAAATTCACATGCACAAATACATACTCTTATAAAATAAAATTATAATTTTAAAATTTAATTATAAATAAATATTTTTAGTTTGATGTCTTCATCATGCTTTTGGTAATTAATCATGTTCTCTTTTTGCTCTAACTCATTCTAGTCGGTCAAAAACATGTTTTTGTTGCATTAACTAGTCTATAAGAAGCAAGAATCTAAATAAAGAAATGACAAGGACTTTTTTTTATAATTAAAACCCACAAAGGGGCCTATGCGTTAATTTCAAAAAATCGATTACAAGGTCTTTAAAAGGAACCTTCAGCTCACTACTGCTCAAAAGAGCTACAATAAAAAAGAAAATAAAGCCTATGAGCCAGTGGATCCTTATCCTAAGATTACAAAAATAATATAAAAGATTAAACGGGCTGCAAGGAGGCAGCACCCAAAAAAGGAAGCTCAGATGGAAACCGTTCAGCTCAAACTTCCTGCAAAAATTGAGGAAAGAAATAGATGCAAACAGAAACGAAATAGAAGAACTAACCTTAAAATCATTGAAGATCCAAAATTCAATCGAGTTAAGAAACCTGCAGGAAGAACTCCAAGCGCACAGCTTAGGGTAGTGATAGGTTAAACAGACATTATAAGACATAATATTCTTACCAATGCAAAATAATATAACATTAACCGAATAAAAATCCATCGGGATACTCCAGACAAAGATAAAGAACAAAAGCAGATCTTCCAACATATCACCCACCAAAGAAACATTTCTATCCGCCCTACCAATAGTCACACTACAGGTTATAATATTGGACTTCCAACCACCCAGGAAATAACTAATCTTAAAGATATTGCAAATGATGTAATAAAAAAACCTGTAGGTATGAAGAAACAAAAATCCATCAATCAACTTATTCTCAATCACAGAATACCCCGAACAAAACTGCTTACGAGGATGATTAAACTCAGAAATACAGGCCCTTAAGATAAAAGTAATGTAGCTAATAATCAACCATAAGTGATAGCAGGTATCTAAACAATGATTAGTGATCAAACACACAACACAGGCAGAAATAGCCAACAGACCTTATGATCAGAAACCTGCATAAGTGGAATCAGCCCACAGCAGCACATAAAGAGCACCACCAAATCGAAACTCAAAACAGTCCCCAAGCCACCATCGAAATGCAAAGGAAGGCAGGAGAAATTAGCAGAAATGGCAAAAAAAAACCAAAAAATAGGACTGGGGGAAGATGTAGCCATGAATAAACTGATAGTAAAAGAAATTAAAGGGACCAACAACATCAAAAACAGAACCAGCAAAATCAATGATGCTGAATATAAGGTTAACCACATTTGTCCATATTGATCAGACCACTTAGCAAAGAAGGAATACAGGAAATCTGAAATTCCTGCATAACATTAAGCTTACTGCCAAAGTTAGCCAGCCAATCCGCACATACACTTCCCTCCCAATAGATGTGAGATAGGGAGTAATTCATGTTAGAGAGAATATGATTAATTTTTCTAATGGTATAAAAATTATGGGGGTATCCATCCCCCTCCTTTTGAATGATAGAAATAACCATTTTAGCATCAATTTCAATATGAACCTACCTCATACCAGAATTTTGACA